TACGTAACCAGATCTAAGGGACGCCACCACCCCCCTGTACTATTTCAGGCTAAATAAGCTAAAATTTGTGCTATGTAGGAAGCACTAGAAGTGAGTACACTTGCAGCTGACCACCTTTATTTTGTTTTGTCTATTGGTGTTCTTTTTGTAAAATATGAGATCTCGCGATGACGAGAAACACATGACAGACTCAAGCTTGGCACTGATCCGTTGGGGTCGCAGGATCGTGACCCGATTATTTCTTTCCCTAATATAACACTCACTATTCCAATGCACTCCTCCTCCGGGTTCCGGTGAGTCGATATAAGTATACCTTTTAATTTTATTTCCGTTCGGGATGAAAGTCGATCACATTTGACGGTCGACTCAAAAAATATGCCTCATTCCAATATTTCCTATAAATTAGAACTACCACAATCAAACTTATCCTGTATTTAGGCCATTAGCGAGCTCTTAATGACTTCCTGAAATATGGACAAACAGGGAACTTCCTTTGATCTCAGTTTGAGATGCGAAACATCGCACTATGAAAATCCTCTAATTACACATGTTGGCATAAATATAGATATTATCCTGACAATTTGCTATTCTGTACAGGATAGAATCGACAAAATGCACCTCATATTTATAGTGGATTCCGGATTCATACTGTGAAATTTAATCCGTTGTTAAAAATCATTTAAGGGAAGCGGGGTGAGGTTCCTTTTTGTAGCCACGTTTTGAAGGCAATAGGAAATTCAATATAATTGCAGTGCTAGTTCGTCAAATTTATTTAGTATTATATTACTAGTCACAAGATACTTTTAAAGCTCTGGGTGTTATTTAACGAGGGTAAATATCCTAACTTCCTACATAAAAACAAAATGTCTAGTGCTAAATCTTTTATATATGAAGAGAAACTGGGTTTCGATGAATCTCTTGAGGACTGAAAGTTCCCGTAAATCTTTTGTCATAAATTTTTTCTGACAACATCTTTGTTCTATATAGTGGCCTTACTGTGTTCTATAAGCTTTTCTGATGCGATGTCGATATTATTTCGTCTGGACTCTATCGGAAATAAATGACATAAGCGCAGGTTATGGATGGTCAAGTATCTGTCCGCGCACCGGCAGAACCGTTTGGCACGAAGTCAAAAATTTTAATTTCTTATCTGTGTAAGCTAGTATCTCGCCGAAAGTCGCAATCGATAGCTGGAACATTAGCACAACCCATTGGCTCTGAAAGGTCTTGTATAACCGATTTCCAGAGGTCTGGAAAACCCTGGTAGTCTTTCTTTGCAGCACTATTTGCCATGGACTATATCCAGGTTACTATCTCAGCTTCATCTCCTTGGCCATGTTCACCTACGTCAGTCGAGTTTGGCGACGTCAAATGCGCACACTCTACTTGGCACGGTTTGATGCAAGAGTCTGCAATGTGATCACGTACCTGTCCACCAGCGCCGTCAAAGCGACCTGAATGCTGCTCTTTTTCTACTGGAATTTCAGAGCTTCTATACAAATTTCTGGAACTCTTTTACTACATCCCATATTTGACCGGAGTCTGCATTCTGATCGTCAATTTGGTGGTTTCCAGATTTTAGTGATCTTTCGTATAGAAATCGGCAGAATAAATTCAATATTCGCAGGCAGTTAAACGAAGTTGTGCTCATCAACAGCAAAGGTCAATTAGTCGCATTAGACAATTTATAATGAGCTATATATTATAATCTCACACTTGTATTTGGTTTTTGCTTGCTTTCTAGTCAGCCGCTGAATATCAATAGTAACGGTGAGTAAGGTACCCTAGTATTACGATCCCGCTCTACTCTAGTATAGGTCTATCATTTGAACAACACGTCCATATATTACAATAGCTGGATCAGATTATTTGCACAGACATTTCCAAGTAAAGTTGATTGTGAAAGGTAAAAAAGCATTCCAAGGCACTATGACTCGACTTTCTATTTCAAGGAAAAATTAAAGTGAAGTGGCTTTGTGCATTGGCTTCATATAAAGCCAAAAGATGATCGTACGAAATAGTCCTTGGTTCACTGCATTTATGCTCCGGTGAATCCATGCTAAGCTTCGTCTACCATGAGATAGCTATTGCTTAAACAAGAACCATAGTTTACGTGAAACCGCATCCCTATACATAGCCAAGAGAGTTAATTGGCTGCAGATCTATTCACTCCTTATACCTAATTTTGCGATCTTAATAATTCATCCTATTATGCGTTTACCTAACAGGCTTTTAAGTGAGTGAAGTTGGTTCATGAAAAGGAGACGTCACAAGTGTAAATTAAAATTTTATAATATCTGGCACATGGGAATACAGTTCGCCCTCGGAACATTTTGCCCTACCACTATTCAAGGAGGATCTTAAGTAATCAAGAAAAATGATGTTTGCTTATAATATAGAGACAAACCAAAACGACAAGAATTCCTTTTTGTAGCTTTACTTCAGTCTATTTTTAGCCAATATTTCATCAAGTGCATATATTCTTCATTGATTTCAACCGCTAGATAGAAACTGTTAATGGTAAATTGATTAACAATTCTTGGTATTATATTCATCATAGTAATGATGAGTCCTTTTAATAGTTTTCCAAGTTGGACCGATGTATAAATTTATATTAATTATAAGGCCCTAATTATATTCGCGATTTACTAAAGGGTAGGAGCCCGGATGATGCCCCCTTTTACAAACTTATTAAAGCGAACAGATGGTTTCAGAAATTTTTGAATCAGCCAAACTCAAGTTTTTTATGCATACAACTAAGGAACTCTGCCATTTATTGGCTATATTCAGTTAAAAATTCGTATGATTTTGTGAAATTGCTAGATCAACAGACAATTTCTGAA